GCTATAAATAGATTGTGATGGGGATAACACGAAGTCATGTACGTAAAGTGACTGGCATGGACGAGGTGCTTGGCAAATGTCAGCTGGCACCTGTCCCCTCACCCCGTGCCACATGTAGCTGTGTCTTGGCTTTCTGCTACACTTAGAGGGACGAGGCTGAGAGCTGAGGGTGGGGAGAGGAGAAAAAGCAGCAGCAGCAGCTTCAGGAGAGCCCTGCTCACTTAGGAGAGATAAAGCCAGAGCTACAGTGGGAGAGACTCGTTAGTCCTGAGAGGGGATTCCCACTCTCAGACCCTGGAAGAAGCCACATTTCAAAGGCCTCGCCTGGGCCAGTCTGTTCTGCGGCCCATATCCTCCTCCTAGAGGCAGCAGCAGCTGCCTGTCTGGGGAGCAGTGGGGGAGGTGAAGAGTTCACCGGGCTCAGGGGCTGTGGGCCGCAGGCCTCCCACCCAGCCCTGGTGCCCTGGCCTAGCCCATTGTGGCCGCATAAAAGGTGACGGATGGTTAATAGGGGAGATAACGGGATTCATAAGGGAAATTTATCGGTCACTCTGGTGGTATAAATATGTTTATAGCGGACCAAGGGGAAATGAAGAAGCCCCAATAAATCATGGTGAAGCCACCAGCCACTAATAGGCAAGCGGCCGCTGGAACCCCAGTGTTGGCAATTGCAGACACCCCCCTCTGGCTGCCCGCTAATGGTGTGGCGGGGCTGCAGACTTGTCAAGCCGGACAGACGCCCAGCCCGCATTGTGGCAGGGACAAGACCCCAGGGGCCCCCCCTGCCGGACCTGAGCTGACCCGCCCACTGCGCGGCCACACCCCTGCCCAGTCTGGACTCAGCCAGGCTAGAATTGCTGAGAGAACAGGGAAAGCGGTGCATGGGTCAGGTCTAGGCGGCTCCCTGGTACAGGGGTTAAAGAGGCTCTGGAGTCAGACCTGGTTTCAAAACTTGCTGCTGCCACCTCCCAACCCTGCCTCTCTTGGAGTTCGCTTGTCTGCAAAGTGGTTTAGCAACCTTGGAAGCTGCGGTGAAGAGTAGAGATAATCCACTACCACAGTGCTTGGCACCTTGTAAACTTCGATAAATGGCAGCTATTCTTATTCTCACATTAGACAGGGTCCTATCCTCCTGGGGAAAGTGCTATGCAGATGTGAGAACATTAACAGAAAAGCAGATAGCACCAGCATTTTATAGATAAGGGACCCGAGGCTCAGAAGTTAAGAAGCTTGCCTGAGGGCACACAGCTAGAAGAGAAAGGCTCTGTTTGGTTCCCAAGTCCAGACTCTTCCCCTTGCCCTGATGTAGGTCCTGCTCCTTCCTCAAAGTTTCTAGGGGTTTCCTGTCCCCCCTTCCTTCAGAAGTGGCCAAGGATTTCAGGGGCCCTGAAGCACTCAGGTCAAAGCCCTGGGGCTCTGGCAGTGATTTGGGGTGCTGATGATGCTGGGCCTCTGCTCACCACCCTCCCCCCATCCCTTCCCTCCTTACTCCTGCACAGCGAGAGCGCAAGTGCGGGACTCAGTTACCATGACCCCCTCACACGCACTGTGGTGGTCTGAAGCCTTCTATCTGATCTGTTCGGGAGGCCCCTCTCTGGGCACCCCCACCCAGTCTCCATCACAGTCTCCGTCCAGCTCACTCCTTCATTCATTCATTCAGCAAACACTAGGGACCTTCCCTTGCAGGGCACAATACTGAGCAAGGTAGACAAGGCTGCCCCCACGGTGCTCACTGCTGGTAGAGAAGTCAGGTCTGGATCATCCCCTACATCCGGCTCCATCCTCACTTTGTCTCAGTTCCTCGTCCCCTCCTCTCTTCGCTCATGGCCACGCTGTCCAGCCTCATTCCTGGCCTCCACACTGGACAGTGCTGCTGCCTGCTCCCCAGTTTCCTGCCAGGATGGCTGCCCCCTGCAAACTACCCCCATCCCTGCCTGAGCCCCGTATCTACCCCCAAAGCCCCAGCCTAGGGGCCTCCCTTCCGAGTGCCACAGCCGGCAGTTCAGAGGGCGGGGGTCCTGGCACGGACACCAAGGGGAGGGCCCCACTTCCCCGCGCCTGCTCCGGGGAGGAGAGAGGCAGAGCCGCCTGTGCCCCTCTTGGGATGTCCGCGCGTCTCGTCTCGCTAGATCTCTGTCTCTCTCCTGCGTCTCTCCGTCTCGGCCGGCTCCGGCTCTCCTCTCCGGGTCTCGGGCTCGGTTGCTCCGTCTCTCTCCCTCCCGAGGCCCCCCTCCGCAGCCGGGCGGGGGAAATCGCTCCGTAAATAGGCGGATGGCCCCGGGCGCTCCGGGCGCAGACACTCGTTTTTAGAGCCGGTAATTGACTCCTTTCAGTTGATAATTCATGGCTTGCATATGCGCTTTAATGCGGGCGCCCGGGGAGGCGCGGCGGGCGGGGCGGCCGGTGCGCAGAGCCGGCGGCGGCGCGGCCGGGAGGGAGCCCGGCTCGGCCTGGTCCGCGCCGTCGGGCCGTGCGTGTCCGCGGGAGGAGCGGGCGCTCCGCCCGGGTCTGTCTGCCCGGCCCTCCCGAGGCCGCGCGGGGGGTGCGGAAGCGGGGTGCGCTGGGTGGGACCGAAAGGCCCGGACGGTCTCTGGGCCAGCGGCGGGCGACGAGCCCAGTGACGGATCCTTCGACTGAACCAGGGGGAGAAGCGGGGCACGAGGGTACTCCTTCCCCACGCAGCCAACGGGAAACTGAGGTCTTAACCCGGCATCGCCCAGCGCAAAAGCAAGACCAGAAGGCAAAGGGACCTAGTCAGGGGCCTCAGTCCCAGCTTTTGCAGAACTGCCCCTCACCTGGGAATGCTCCTGTTTCTGAGCTAACTCTGGCCTGTTGCCCTCTCACAGGCACCCCTATCAGGGGCTGGCTCTGCCTGTGAATTCCGGGCACAGACACCCAGACCTGGGTACAGACACCCAGACCTGGGTAAGCCTCCCACGCTGGATAAGGGTAGCCCAAGTCCCTCTCACCTGCTCACCCTCTCACCCTAAGGCCGTGGCGGATGTGACCTTGGGCCCCATTTTAGAGGCGTAGAGAAGCTGGGACACTTGCACAAGGTCTCAGAGGAGGCAGAGCCTGACCTGGATGTGTGTGTGCCCAGACCAAGGCCTGCGCAGTGGAACCAATAGGAGTGGGAAGGGAAGGAGCAGGAGATGCCCTGGTCCAGGAGGTCCCATATGTACCCACACAGGGACCTCAGAGAGGCCCCCACAGCAAAGAGCTCTGAGAATGCAAATGACCTGCCCACAGTCTCAGGCCAGGGAGTGGTTTTAGATGAAGATGGTGCTGGCAGGAGTCAGAGGTTAGAGGTCAGCACTGGAGCTGGAGCTAGGACTGGGGAGGAAGGAGGTTGTGAACCTTAGCTCAAGAGATACTAGAGAGAGCCCAGCCTGAAGTCTGGCTCCAAGATAGGGCTTCCCATTTACTCAGCCCTTTGAGCTGGTATCTGCCACCCCCTTTCCCCAGGCTAATTCCAGCCAAAAAAAGAATTCCACCCCCTGCATTTTAAAATCTGCAAATGTTTAACCTAAAGCCAAAGCACCTGGCTAATTCCTGCATCCCCTGCCCGATCCTTGTCCCTCCACCTGCCAGTTTCCCATCAGCGCAATGCAGTTGGATAGAAGGATCTGACCGGGGAAGTCCGGGCAAGAGCGGGGCTGAGAACAGAAGGCAAGGGCTGTCTGGGCTGTGTGAAGCTAAATGCTGCCCCCTGGTGCCCAGACTGTTGAAGCAGGCAGGGGACACGCTACGGGTAGAGAACCTCTCGGCCTCCTGCTTTCTCCGAGCCCCTTAGACCTCCATCTTAGTAGGGAGGGAGGACAGGGATGGAGCCCTACTCAGCCCTGTCTGAGGGGAAACCCTGAGGCTGGATTTCTAGCAGAGATCTCAGACTCTGTGGAAGAGCTAGAGAGAGGGGGAGCCACAGTGAGCTCAGCAGTAGCCCTGTCCAGCCTGCACCTGGACGCCCACATGGTTCTTTCTGTGGTAGGCAGAGTCAGGCTGACCCTCTGGTGTGATACCTGGAGTCTCCATCTGAGTTAAAATCTTTTAACTCAGGCCTTTTTCTGCCTGAAATTCCACCATTTGTGCTCAGAGGAGGTACTCAACAAATGTAGGATGGATGGGTGGGTGGATGAATTCCATTCGTTTGTATCGAGATATTGTCTTCGGGAGATCTGTGCCATCACACACAGGGAAGAGTGAGTTCACTAGTTTGCCGAGTTGGGCTACAAAGAGGAATGGGATAGGAGAAGGGGAGGCTTTGGTAGGGGGAAGACCTCAAGAGAGCTCAAATGAAAGGAAAGTCATGTGGTGGTGGGGGGTTAGAGGGATCAAGGAAGACTTCCGGGGGGAAGTGGCATTTGACACAGGGCTTGAAGGATGAATAGAGGCCCAAAGGCAGAAGCATCAGGTGTACTTGTGCTGGCAAGAGGGCTGCAGTTTGAGGGAAGGAGTGAGGCAGTGCTGTGGTAGAGTCATGGCAGAGGCGGCTGTGGAGGGTCCCGGGGTAAGGGGTGCTGAATGTCAGGCCAAGGAATTAGCACTTGGTGGGAAAAGCACTGGACGGTGAGCCAAGGGTCTGGGTCCTAACCCAAGGTCCACTTCAACTGGATTCTACTTCCTCAGCCTTGCTCTCTGGAGCTTTCTACAGACATCAGTGGGAGCCGTGTCAAGTTCTTCCTCAGGGTGATGTCTAGAAATCACAGCTTGCAGAATAGTCAAGCTGGCAGGTACCATGGACCTTATCAAATCTAAACCCCTCAATTCGCAGATGAGAAAACTGAGGTCCAGAGAGGGGAAGTGACTTCCCAGCATCACATGGCAAGCCAGTGGGAGAGCCCAGACTTGGACCTAGGGCTCCAGGCCTCTCAGGCTGGGGGGCTCTTTCCCTTTGCTGCAATCCAGGGTAGCACCTGAGGGACTGAGCTGGAGGAGAGCAGCTGGAGGCACAAGGCCACCAGGAGGCTACAGCCCTACCCAGACCAGAGATCACAAGGCCGGCCAGTCAGAAGTGTTTATTGAGCCCCTTACACTGCTCCCCATGTTGGGCTGATCTGGGGAGTCCATGTGAGTCCACCACACAGAGGGACCACAAAGAAAAGGAATGTGGTAGGTTCCAAGAGGGGGAGACATGAGGCGGATATGGTATTCATGAGAAGGCAGGGGCATTGGGAGCAGACTTGGGCGAGGATCTAGGAAGGTCTCCAGGGGAAGGAGTGGCTTGTCACTCGGGCTCCCTCTGGTTCCCTCTGGTTCTTGACCAAGGTCTCCACCTCCTTCATGAACTGGAGACATAGCTCCTCTTCCCAGGGCAAAGCGATGCACTGCACAGCCACCGGAAGTCCCACGGATCCTCTCACTGCCTGCCAGGAGAAAGGGTCTGGGAGCTCAGAGCCTGATTCCTGCTCACAGGCCACTTGCCCTCCTCATCAGCCGTGCTGTTCCGGCCTCAGTGCCAAGGGATGGCCTAGGGGATGCCTTAGTCCAGACCTCCCATCCCCAATCTATCTTAAGGCGAAGATGTCCTGGATCTTAGAGTTCCAGGCTTCCTCAGCCCTTGGTGAAACCTGAAAAGACTGTTGTGATTTTATTTTGTCTATAGTTTTCCAGGGTTAATATGTAAAATTTGCTCTCTGTGCAGAATGCTGACTAAAATGATGAAATATAAAGCCAAAAGCCGAGCATCCACCCAATGTTCACAGCAAGGGAAAGAAGAACGTGCAAGTCCCTGACTAGAGCCTGGTTACATTTCTACAATGAAAACATTACCTTGACCCAAAACACAGGCCCAGGAACATGGGGGCTAAGCCTGAGTCCCTACCATGAAATCCATACATACTTGTAGGAATTCAAACATGTTCTCATTGCTTTAAGATGATGTTATCACATAAGCCCTTATTTGCCTTAGTCTCTGAAGCCAGATCTCCTGGCTTCAAGTCCTGGCTCCTCCACTTCAACTGGCTGTGTGGCTTCGGTCCTGTCCCTTAGTCTGTGTGTGCCTCCATTTTCCTCATTTGCAAAACCTCACAGGAGAGTTATGGGATATAATGATTTAATATTTACATATAGTACTTTAAACAGCTCCTGGAACAGAGTAAGAGCTCAAGACACAGGAGATAGTGTCATTATTGTTATTTTCTCAGAATTCAGGTCAGCAGTTCCGCTGGGTAACTCTAGCACTAAAATCAATTTCCAGAAAAAGTAAGTCATTTAATGTCTGACTCAGACACATGCATACTTTTCAGAGTCAGTCTCTTTCCCTCTCTCCCCTTCTCCCTCTCACCATAGTCAGGGGTGTTATTTTAGACCCTGCAGTTAAATAGGCCCAGGGTAATATTTCCTTTTATGAAACCACTGCCGAGTCAGTAATAGTAGCATTTATTGAACACTTGCTATACACAAGGCCTTACGCTAAGTGCTGCACTCCCTTTTTCGGTTTAATTAACCTTTAGCACAACCCTTTTGTTCTCATTTTCCTGGCCAAAAAAAGCTCAGGCCCTGAGAGAGGCCTTGTCCAGTCCAGGTACACAGTAAGCTCCTAACCAAAGCTTTTGCCCTGAGCCACCCTCCCAGCCTCTGGGATCAATTTTCCCTGCAGAAGTACCAAGAAGAGCACCGGTCTTGCAAAGTTTTCTCCCCTGACAAGGATGGGGCTGACATGGACGTCAAATGGTGTGCCCTTGAGGTTGGGGTGAAACTGCAGCGGAAGCGATAAAGGGTAAACACTAGGAAGGACCAGCCCCACCTACGCTCTCCGCCCCCTCCCCCACAGGGACCCCAACTCGGATTGACCAAGAATCAGCCCCCGTTTGTCCTCCTGAGGGAGAGGCTTCCAGAAGGAAACTGACCTCCTGGAAATTTTTGTCAGAACTATCTCCGTAGTATCCCTTGTAGAAGGCCAGTTCCTCCTCGTCCTGTGGCGTGACGGTAGTGACAGGCAGCACGCCCACGGGAAAGTCCAGGATGTTGTACAGGAACATGTAGGAGGAGCTTTCTGCGGGAAGATCAGATAAACCCAGGAAATCAGCCCCGAGAAGACTCGGGCCGGCCGGCCGGGGAAGAACGCGGGCGCGCGCCCCCTCCCGGTCCTTCCCGGAACTGCAGCCCTCCGGGCTCGGACAGGCCGGCGAGTGCCCGATTCATAGGCTCTCCCGAGGTGGAGGGAAGGGGGCAATTGGCACTGCGGAAGCCTTACTCAGTGCCAGGCACTGTGCTGGCTGATCCCTTGAATCCTCTCCCCGCCTGTGAGGTGGGAGTTAACTATTCCCTGTGGAGATCCGGGAGGCAGACAGGTTAGGTAGCTTTTCTAAGGCTACACGGCCAGCGGGGGGCAGAGGACCCAGCCCTCTGTGTATTGGACTCCAAGATGGGGGGCGTGCAGTATCACCCTGAGTTGAAAAGACAGTTCCTCTGCAGCAGCCGCCTGTGCGCAGGCAGAGCCAGGTGTGGGATGTGCCTTTGGCCTGCCACTGTCGTGGGGAGAGAGTCCAGGATTGGGGTTGGAACTGGGTTTCATCTGCTTTGAGCAGTCCCTCTGAGACCAGAACCTGCGCATGGGCCCCAAGAGGGCCCCAGGTACTGTCCTGTCTTGAACCTGCTTTTCAGGTGGGCTGGGCTGAAGATGCCTTTTAATGTGGTGACAGCAGAGAGCAAGTTAAGAGTAAACGGAGGTGCGAAGTGGAAGAAGCCAAACACAAAGCCTCATACCTTTTGATTCCATTTATATGAAATTCCAGAAATGGCAAAACTATAGTGACAGAGAGCAGATCAGTGGGTGCTGGGGGTAGGGGAAAAGTGAACCACAAAGGGACATGAGGGAAATTTAAGAGTGATTAAAATACATATTCTATCAATTCTGAAAATATATTCTATATTTCTGATTATAGTGGTGATTGTACATCTGTATATAATTGTCAAAATTCACCAAATTACACACTTGAAATCGGTGAATTTTATTGTGTGTAAAGTATGCCTCAATAAAAGTTCATTTAAAAAGTGAATGGAAATTGAGAGTGACTGCTAACAAGTACTAGGTGTCTTTTCAGGGTGACAGAAATGTTCTGGAACTAAATAGTGATGGCGGTTGCATGACACTCTGAAATACTAAAAATCATCGAATTGTACACTTTAAAATGGTGAATTTATGTTATCTGACTTTTATCTCAATTTAAGAAAATTTTTAAAAAAGTGAATGGAGACAAAAGTCAAGGCCACAGCAGCTGGGGCAGGATGTAGGAGCCCTGGATTCCCAATCTCAATCCCACGGGACCCAGTGCTCTCTAACCTGTGGCTTTAGCAGGATAGCCGACATAGAAAGCAGGGGCCAGCACTGGTGCCAGCAGCACGTCTAAGTCCAGCGACCTCCACTTGGCTATGAACTCTTGCTGATAGTCCTAAGGGATGGAGAGGGGTGAGAGGGGAGGACCACCAGGGTTCACTGTCTGTC